TTTGGAGTGTGGAAGGAAACCGGAGTACCCAGAGGAAACCCGCGCAGTCACAGGGAGAACATGCAAACTCCAGGCAGGTGCTGCCGGGGGTTGGGATTCAAACCAGCGACCCTGGTACTGCCAGGCGGAAGTGCTAACCATTTAGCCACTGTGCTGCCCAATCCCCCTAAATTGTGGAAGGCTCCTGGAAACAGGTGAGTAGCAGTATGCTGGAATCTGGACAAGTCCGTGAGAGCTCAACACTGGAGACAGCAATGACATGGACCCTGGACTCGCGTCCTTTTTTATTGCCACACACGACTAGTCGGTCAGGGCCAGAAAGCCAGTGAAGAACAACCCAGGATTGGCAGCACATGAAGTTAAAGCTATCCCTCCTGACCAGGGCAGCACCTAACTAGATATAAGTAGGCAACCTACCTACATGTTTTTCATGAATGCTCAATGAAGTGTTCCCTGATTGGACAAGGTAGAGATCATCACACCACCACTCTTCCTCTCCACCTTGTCCTGCCAGAGAACCCTTGCATTCATGGAGAAAATGCAAAGTGTTCTGAATGGCGCCTGTGCCAGCGAACTGACCCCTTATGTTCACTTTGCAGAAGGTCAGCATCAGATCTGGAAGACCATCAGGATCACTGTAGTCACAGTGGATACTACAGTGAGTATCTGTTCCCGCAGGGATCAGCCAACAGGTAAGGAATACGTGTACTTACATTGGTCCAAGCTGGACTCGCAAAAATATCCATACCTGGAATTCAGTTTTAACTGTGGTTTTGCTCCAGAGCTTTCCTTTAGGGGAAAAAAATGAACCATAAAATCCTACAGGTAACTTCTACAAGTTTTTTTTAAGCACTTTTTGTTCATCAAAGTAATTTTATTGTCACCAAAGCACAATATCTTCATTGCCTGTCAGTTCAGAGCAGAAGGTGGTATTTTCAGTGACATGTATCTCTGTGATCTAAAGCAAAGTGTCCCACTGGTGACCCGTGTTTTATGCTGCTTTCAAGACAATAGATTACCAAACCTCACAGAACCTGTACACAAGATACATCACATCAGCAGAGTAGTATAGGCTTATGTGGGGCTGTCAGAGGAAATTTATTAGAAATACAGACATTCAGACTAAAATAACCTCCGTTTTAATGAACAATCTTTCACCTGTGCAACATGAGTTAATCACACAATAATCTTAATTTTTCATGTCTGAGAATTACAATCTGGAGTAAGCAGAACACAAATATAAGAGCAAACTATACGTATATTGTGCTTTTTCATGAAACCTCTGAATTAAAAAGAAATTCGGTAAGTTCTTTACTCATAAAATTAACATACAGTTATGATTCATACTATTTATGTAAATCGGAGTTCTGCTGCTTTCTACCTCACAAGCCAAGTCACCTTTTTCATACTTTTGATCTGTGATATGTTTGAAGTGCATTTTTGTACGCTTAAAGCCCAACTTGGGGCACCATAAATTTAAACCAGTTATACAGTACATTCCCTTTGCCTCAAAAGCAACCCCCTGTCATGCAGACATGTGCGATTCGTTTCGTTCGGAATCGAAATCCGGACAAATTTTTCATTATTCGGAAATTCAGGTGTATCCAAGTTCTGAATCACAATAGTAACAAATGTAAATGAATACTCTGAAATAATGAAAGGAAATTCGTTCAAATTCAATTCAAATTTCTAAATTAATATGAAATGTAAACATATTGCAATTTTTAGATGTGAAAAATTCAGCAGTCGCATTCAAATAAAAAACATTTTCTATGCAAAATTTCTGAATTTGGTCGAATCAAATTCAGTTTGACTGACTTTGGAAAATTTGAAAATGAATAAGTGAAACTAAACAAATTTAAAAAAATAAATTTAATTAAACAAAATTTGTTAAAGATATATTAAAATCTTTTTTTTTTTTTTCTTTTAAATAAACATATAATACTTACTTTGTGCAATGGTTTAGAACAGAGCTGCCCGGATCCTCCTCTTCTTGGGTCCTCTGCCAGCACTCCTGGCCCCTCCCTCCTGTTGGGTGCCCCCACAGCAAGCAGCTTGCTATGGGGGCACTCAAGCAGGCATGCTCCTGAGCTGCGGCTCTGCGTGTCCTTTCACACACACACAGCCTCAGATCAGCCCTGCCCCTTCCCTCTCCTGATTGGCTCACTGGCTGTGATTGCTGCCTCAGGCAATCAGGAGTGAGAGTCCCCGGCGAACCGAGGCCTTTGCTGGATTGGGATAGGGCTCAGGTAAGTGTTGGGGGCTGCTATACACAAAAGGTTTTTTTACCTTCATGCATTCTATGCATGAAGGCAAAAAAAACAAGTCTTTAGAACCACTTTAATACACAGAAAAATACACATTTTGGTTATGCATATACATGAAATAGGAACTCTAGACCGATTTGTTTTCAGCTTTGAAAGAATCAAAAAGTGCTAGAACCTCTGTCAGTTTTTATTACTACCTGCCGCTCCTTTGTACTTTTTTCATATATTACGAGGATGCTCTTGCTACGGCAAGGATAGACAACCTAAGACAACACATGGCATGCACAGGCTCAGACTGTAATGATTAACACAGTAGTGACATGGGGGTGGCAGAATGAGCCATTAACCACTTCAACTCCAGACACTTTCACCACCTTCCAGTCCACGCACATTTTCAGCTTTCAACACTGTCACACTTTGAATGACAAGTGCTCAGTCATGCAAAACTATACCCATGTGAAATTTGTATTATTTTTTTGGAGACAGAACTTTTTTTGGTGGTATTTGATTACCACTGTTTTTTTTAATTTTTGGTATGTGAATAAAAAAAAGTACCCAAAATTTTGAAAAAAATTATTTTTATTAGTTTTTGTTATAAAATTTTGCAAATAATTTTTCTTTACAAATTTAGGCCATAATGTATTCTGCTACATTTATAGGGTAAAAATAACCCAAACAGTGTATATAAAGTTAGTCTGTGTGAAAGCTATAGAGTCTACAAACGATGGGATATATGTTTGAAAATTGATCAACTGAGACCCTAAAATGCCGCACGCTGGTATGATGTATGGCAGTGATCAGGACACTGGTATGGGGTATGGCAGTAATCAGAATACTAATATGGAATTTGGTGGTGATCAGGGCACTGATACAAGCTATAGAGGTGATTAGGGTGCTGGTATGGGGTATCAGGACCCTGATATGGCATAGGGGGTGATCAGGATACTGGTATAGCATATAGGGGTGATCAGAATCCTGGTATAGGACATGGCAGTGATCAGGATACTAGTATTGTGTATGGGGTGTTCAGGATGCTGGTATGGCAGTGATCAGGACACTGGTATGGCAGTAATTATGACACTGGTATGGTGTATGGCCATGTTACCATGAGCACTGTGACAAGTGACAGTGGCTGGCTGCATGTTTATTATTGACTACAACGGGCAGTAATCATGGACACTGGAGCAGTGATCTGCGACATTGGGGTGGCTGGCACAGCAGTCTGTAAGTGTTTTATGCAGTCTGCTGTACACTCACATGCTGCTGCTATTGTTCCTCTCTGGTCTCACAGTCAGAGCAGAGAGAATCAATCTTTACTTTCACGTTCAGTGTTTATTATGTGATTGCTGTGATTGGTCTCAGCAATCACATGGTAAAACACCATGTGGTTGCCTGAACACAGCTATGTCCGGACAACATACCGATTGCCGGGCTCCCGTGTGCGCGATCTGTGAGCCGTGCAGGAGCTGCTGATGCGGGCTGATATACAGGCACGTTAGTCCGTATCGGCAAAGCTTCCCGTCCGCTGTCTATAGGCAATGGGTGGATGGGAAGTGGTTAAAGGATAAGTCCACCTTTTTAAAAAAATTTTACTTAACACCACTCCTCGTGGGGGGGTTTCTCTCCTCCATAGCCACATTTAAAATCTGCGCGGCTGTGTGGGGCTCTGCCCACAAAGCCACATCATTCGCTCGCATCTGTGAAAGAATAAACAACAAGTCCTGCCTGCCACCGCTGAACATGGCTTGTAGATCGCAATTGACTATGAATCGATTTCATTCAGGTAAATGTTGCTTATAGCAAAGTAATTCTTTGCTATAAGCAAACTGTGTAAAAAAAAAAAAATACTGATCACTTCCCCAAAGTAGTACAATGTTATAGTAATATTATACTACTTTGCTCATAGTGAAATATGAAAGAAAATCTTACAAAAAGAGGAAAAAATGTAATAAAAAATAATAAGAAAATAAAAAAAAATAAAAAGATACTTTTCTTTTTGTATTGTCACCAGTCAGTGTCCCTGATCACCGCCATGCCAGTTATATGATGACGCTGTACTGCTCTGGAGTATGTAAAAAAAAAAAATAGTGAAAACCATTTTTTTTCATTTTTTCATTTCCGAAAAATTATGACAAAAAAAATTACAACTTCAGAAAACTCGCCATTCCTCTTATGAAATATTTCGGACTGTCTACTTTGCAAAAAGGGGTCATTTGGGGGATATCTGTATTGTTCTGACATTCTTGGACCTCAAGAAATTAGATTGGCCGTCAGTACTTCAGGATTCATCAATATTCAGATATATACCATAGTTTATGAACTCTATAAATACCACTCCCAGAATGCAATGGGACTGTCCTCCCCTGCAATTGGCCAGGGCTGTATCCATATTCATGCTGCTCATTTGCCTAGTTCCCTCCCAGGTTCTGGAATCCTCTCATAGCTTCCTGAAAGTGGGCAGAACTCAAGGCAAAGTCAAAGAGCACCAGAGCATCATGAGCAGACCTAAATAATGCATCACAGCACTGTTAACCACCTCCCGCCCGCCATATAGTAATATGACGGGCGCAAGGTGGTTCTCTCGTTCTGGGAGGACGTCATATGACGTCCTCCCATTCTCACTGCGCATGCACGGCTCAGGGAGTGCGCAGCGCGGCGATCAGCGGTGCGCTGTGTCCCTCGAACACAGCGGATCAGCCGCGATCACGGAAAGAGCCAAAGATGTCGGCTCGGTCATGTGATCAGCTGTGTCCAATCAGCTGACAGCTCGAGAGGAGAGTCCGGTAATCGGCTTTCCGTGGAGGGGACATGTACACTGATCATCAGGGCACTGATGATCAGTGTGCCCTGATGATCAGTGTAGCCCCAGCAGTGCCACCTGTCAGTGTCCATCACTGCCTTATGTCAGTGCTCATCAGTGCTTCGTGCCAGTGCCACACATCAGTGCCTACCAGTGCACATCAATGCCACATATCAGTGCCCATCTGAGCTGCCTTTCAGTGTCACCCATCAGTGCCAGTCAGTGCCACCTATCAATGACAATCAGTGCCACCTATCAGTGCTGCCAATCAGTGCCACCTATCAGTGCCGCCTATCAGTGCCAGTCAGTGCTGCCTATCAGTGCGCATCAGTGCCACCTATCAGTGCCTGGCAGTGCTGCCTAACAGTGCCAGTCAGTGCCGCCTAACAGTGCCAGTCAGTGCCGCCTATCAGTGCCAGTCAGTGCCGCCTATTAGTGCCAGTCAGTGCCGCCTATCAGTGCTGCCAGTCAGTGCCATATATCAGTGCCATGTATCAGTGCTGCTTTTCAGTGCCCATCAGTGATGCCTGTCAATGCCCATCAGTGCCACCTACCAGTGCCTCCTCATCAGTGCCCATCAGTGCCACCTATCAGTGTCCATCAGTGCAGCCTATCAGTGCCCATCAGTGCAGCCTCATTAGCGCACATAAGTGAAGGAGAAAAATCACTTATTTACAAAATTTTATAACAAAAACTAAGAAAAAACTTTTTTTATTTCAAAATTTTCAGTGGTTTTTGCTTTGTTTAAGAAAAAATAAAAAAACCCAAAGGTGATTAAATACCACCAAAATAAAGCTTTATCTGTCACAAAAAAATGATAAAAATTTCATATGGGTACAGTGTTATTTGACCGCGGAATTGTCATTCAAAGTGTGACAGCGCTGAAAGCTGGAAATTGGCCTGGGCAGGAAGGGGGTATAAGTGCCCTGAAGGCTAGTGGTTAAGCAGAGAGCCAATTGGATTTTCCTAACAGTGTCACTGTTAAGTAGAGAAACACAGCTATACCTATCCTAAGTATGCAAATCCTAGCACCTAACTAGGAGGGTGCTATATTAGCAATCATAGTGTGCAAAAAAAAAAATTAAAAAATCCTGATCACTTCCCCAGAGTAGTATAGTGTTACTGTGTTAAAATTGTCATTCAAAAAAGGAAAAAAAGTATACTGTCACCAGTTAGCGTCCCTGATCACTGCCACACCAGTTATATGATGATGCCGTACTGCACTAATGACAGTATGTAAAAAAAATATAACATTTCATTTTCCATAAAAAGTGACAAAAATTACAGCTTCAAAAAAAACTCGCCATGACTCTTACTAAATACCTTTGACTGTCTATTTTCCAAAAAGGGATAATTTGGGGAAATGATACTGACATAATCATACTGCTAGGGAGGTTAATATAAAAAGCAAACTCGCCCATCTGTCCACGTCTCCATGCTTTATTTTGCTGAGAATCCATTTTGAAGAACACCCCCTGGCATTTCTGATTCATGTAGCATTTACTCCCTGGAATCCATCTTCCCTTAGTACAGGCATTGGCTGAGCTGAGAACCCCCCCCCCCTCCCTTCATGAAGACTCCTGGGATGTATGACACCATTTGCCTAGGCATGGAAACCAGGAAGTAACTGAAGAAATATATAAAAAAAAAAAAAGGTTAAAACAAGTATATATGATACACTTTCCTATCTATTTACTAATGCTAGCAGCATAAGGATTAAAAATATTCCATGTCCTTCCCCGACACCCCAAGGGTCTTCTTCTTCTTTTGGGAGATTCAGATGTTACCTTGGATTCCACATTGGATAGGCGCTATGCCTGGAGGGCGGCCCCTTCTCACGACTTAGTGCTAGAGGAACGTATGCGCTCTCTCTCTTGTGGATGGCGGGGCTGGCGGACGTCTGGAGGGAATTTCACCCAACTGAGCGTGACTTTACATTCTATTCCAACCCTCATGCCAGTTTTTGTAGAATTGACCATATATTAATGCATGTTCAGCAGCTTCCCTTGGTCAGGTGGATAGCTATTCCCTCCTAACCCTGGTCAGGCCATGATCCCCTGGTACTCTTCCTTGCCCTCTCTGGATCGGTATGGCACCCTTTCACTGGCGCATTAATGATTCTTTATTGACCACTCAGGTTACCTGACAACAAATATAATCTTTCTTACGCATGTACTTCACGGAAAACTCGGAATCTGTCTCTTCAGCAGTGCCCCTGTGAGAGGCGCATAAAGCACGGTGCGGGGTCATGTTGCGGGAGCGCCGACTTTTGGAGCTTCATTCTCTACTGGCCTCTGCAGATGTTCGTTGGAAGTCATTTCCATCTGCGGCCCATAAACGTGCACTGGATGCTCTGGCGGCAGAGTTGGACCTACTTGTCCTCTTCAGAGGCGGAACAGGCCCTGCGTTGGACAAACACAAATTTGATTCCTGTGCTAATAAGCCGGGTCCGATGCTGGCCAGGAAACTCAATTCTGTGGGGAAACCCTATAAATCGATCTGATTGCGACTTCCCATGGGAGGCTGTACTTCTAATCCCAAGCAGATTGTTTCCCATTTCTCAGACTTCCTTTTGTGCCTTTACGCTAAACCAGATCCCTTCCCTGTGGCTCAGGCAGAGGCATTCTTCCAAGATCTCCGACTTCCTGGATTATCCGAGGCAGCGCAGATGGCCCTCAACGCTGGTGTCACCGTATCGGAAGTACTCCAAGCCATCAAATCTCTATGGTCCACTGTGGCCCCAGGTCCCGGTGGCTTTTCCGGTTCTTTATTATAAGAGTGATAACATTCGTAAGGTGGTCCATCTTATACATTTTCTACAACAGCGGAAAATCCCGGTATTTTTACTGTTCTTAGACATATATAAAGCCTTTGATTCTCTATCCTGGGAATATCTGCAGTTTGTGCTGTCTTGTTGAGGTTTGGAGATTCTATTCTTTCTTGGATTCAAGCCTTGTATTCTTCCCCTTCGGCTTCCGTTAAGTAAGCTGGGTATTTTTCAGATCCCTTTCCTATTTGGCGAGGGACGAGACAGGGCTGCCCCCCAGCTTGTCCTGTCGCTTGAGCCGCTGGCTTTGGGACAGGAGTTCAAGTTGAACCTTTTTGCAGACGATGCCCTCTTGACCCTCACTAATCCCCTGATGATGCTTCCAAATTTGCAACAGGTTCTTGAGCACTTCTCCTTGATTTTGGGTCTCCGTATTAATTTGGATAAGACTATTGCTCCTAATATCACTTTGGCCTCAGATTTGGTTTCGCGCCTACAGTCCCACTTCCCTTACAAATGGGCTTCCTCTTCTCTTGAATACTTAGGCATCTGCTTGACCCTCACCTATGACTCACTGTTTGCTGCAAATTATTATCCATTGCTTCGCTCTGTGTCTTCTCTTATGCATTCTTGGCAATTTCCGCACCTGTCTTGGATAGACGGGTTAATTCAGTGAAAATGACCATCTTGCCGAAATTGTTATACTATTTTCGCACCCTCCCAGTGCGGGTTTCTCCTCATTTCCTTTGGTTGATTCAGGCGAAGATTATGCATTTTATTTGGGCTGATAAGCACCCCAGAGTCTCCAGAGCTACGCTTTTTGTTCATAGACTCCAGAGTGGTCTTGGAGTACCTAATGTAACTAAGTATTATCAGGCGAGCCAGATTGCCCCACTGTCTATGTTGCACGATTCCTCAGACATTCCTCTCTGGGTCCTGCTGGAACTATCTAATTGTGCCCCTATTGCGACATTGACACTTCTATGGCTTTCCCCTGCACTGCGCCCTATGGCACTGAGTCTGATTTTGCTCCATGGCTTACAAGTGTTGGACTCGGTACACTACTCCAGTGGCCTGATGTCACTTTTCTTGCCTTTGCTCCCAATTACTAACAACCCTCTATTCCCACCAGGTTTAGATCAACCAAGGGTGTTTTCTTGGTGGGTTGCCAATGGTTTTTCGCAGGTGCAACACTTTTTGACTTCTTGGTCCTTCCCTACCTGGAATTCTCTTTGGGAGTCACTGGATGTCCCTCCGGCGGAATTTTTTCGTTACCTTCAATTGTGGCATTAGCTTATCTTATTGCAGGGCACTTCTGCTTTCCCGTACCAGAAATCTGCCTTTGAACAGCTTTGCCAACAGAGTCCGGGCACCCCTGGCCTTATTTCCCTTCTTTATGCAGCTTTGAACAGACGTACGACATATACTTCTCTTTCATATGTTGTTCAGTGGGAGCGCGACCTGGGGGTAGTCGAGGATCTAGAGGACTGGAATAGGGCCTGGTCACTTATAGCTAAATGTTCATTTAATATGACCACGCTGGAGGCGACATACAAAGTATTGTTTCGTTGGTATTGGGTTCCGGCTCGTTTGTCCCAGGCAAACCCTGCCTGCAGTGATCGATGCTTTTGGGGTTGTGGCCATCATAGTGATGTATTACATATCTGGTGGTCACGCCCGAGACTGCATCGTTTTTGTTCTCCTGTGTTTGGCCTCCTTTTCACCTTGTTCCATCTCTCTATATGCCGGGATGCTCGGTATGCTTTGCTTCATTGTCCCATGCCGGGCCTCTTGGCTCATCAGCAGAAGTTGGCTTCCTATTGTTTTTGTCAGCCACTAGAACAATTGCTCAGGCCTGGAAGAGTCCCGTTTGTCCCTCTTCAGGGGGTGCGGGACCGTATGACCACTATAATGCTCAATGAACAGATGTCAAGTATCTGCAATGACTCCCAACATAAATTCTTGAAAATATGGGAGAGCTGTGATTGCAATATGCCTTTCCCACACTCCCCCTGGCTAGTCTGGGGGTGTGATGTTGTTCGGTATTGGCGTTCTTGGATCCCTGCTCTTTGTTTTCTTATCTTTTTTCTTTTTTTACTCCTCCTTCCTTCTTTTTTTTTGTTTGTTTTTGGTGTGGCGGTGGATAGTTGCCTTTAGTTTGAGTTATTATCCGTGTTATACTAATGTTTTGTCATTTAAGTGCCATTGATATCCCCTGGGTGGGCACACCTTTTGCTCTGTTGGTGTTAAATCACTGTTTTTTCTAATTTTCTAATTTTTTATGTGCAATTGATAGCCCCTGCGTGGGCGTGCTTTGTTACTCCTGTGTTACACTGTTACAAATTCATAAAAACCATTGAAATACAAAAATATTCCATGTTCATGGACTATTAGTCCATGGGCAGCACAGTGGCTAAATGGTTTGCACTTCCATCTGGCAGTACTAGGGTCATTGGTTCTAATCCCAACCACAGCACCACCTCCCTGGAGTTTGCATGTTCTCCCTGTTCCTGCGTGGGTTTCCTCCAGGTACTTCGGTTTCCTCCCGCATTCCAAAGACATGCTGGTAGGTTAATTGGCTCCTGTCTAAACTGGCCCTAGTATGTATATGTATGAATGTGAGTTAGAGACCTTAGATTGTACGCCCCTTGAGTGTTAGGGACTGATGTGAATGTACAATATATACATGTAAAGCGCTGCGTAAATTGACAGCACTATATAAGTACTTGTGATAAATAAAATAAATAAATAATGTTGATTGAGAGAGTGAAGTTCCACTTTAAGGTTTAGGCCAATCACTGACTTGTGAATTTTACAGATACGACTTGCAATAACACTCAGCAGTGAGGACAGAGCAAAATCAATCCGTTTTGTTACACGGGCCCATTCATTTTTCTTTTTACAGTCACTGCTTACCATCTTGTTGAGGCTCAGCATGGTTATCCCACTCTTACCGTTTGAGCTTAGTAATTATCTCACATGTTTTCAAATAACAAAACCATTAAACGACCTCTTAGATGTCCTTGAGACATTGCTGTACTCTACATGAAACACTGAGAAGTGAAAGCCAAGAATTGTGACAAGCTCACATACTTCCACTGGGTGGCGCTGTTTTATCTCTTTCTGCGAGCTCTCCTGGTTTCTAGAGAACACTTTAATATATGTATACTTATACATTGCCATGTAACAGCCGACAATTCATTACCTGAAAATCAATGGATCACTTATTAATGTTTCCATTCTTATCATTGAATCATGTGCAGGATCACATACTTGTTTTGTGACCAAATAACCAGATTATCAGCTTAGTCTTCTTGCATTCTAAAATGAATCATTTAAACATGTATTTATTATTTGAAATATATACAGTTCTTTTTTTAAAGTGATATTAAATCCTCATTTTTATTCACTTTCAGCAGCTGATTTAATCACTTAACCACTTCCTGTCCAACTCATGTACATAAACAGCCGGAAGGGAGCAGTGCAGGAGCGGGCTGCCATTCATAAACGGCGCCCGTATTTACAGGCTGTGCGCGCTCCCGGGGTGAGCGCGGCACCGCGATCCGGTGCCCGCTGTGTCTGGAGGAACACTGATCGCTGTAGAGGACCTCTGTGTGAGGTCCTGATCATGTTATCACTGATTGGCCAATCAGTGATCACAGGAACAGTAGTAAACAAAATGTCACTTCCTGCCATCATTGCTTACTATGTGTGAAATCTGTGAATGATCACAGAGGTCACATGGTACAAGGCTATTCACAACAGTCTTGTACCATGTGACCAGGGGCGGACTGACCATTCAAGCACTCGGTCACTGCCCAGGGCCCAAGGTCAGTAGGGGGCCCCATGAGATACCCCTGGTACCTTTCATTGGCTTTTTCATAGGCTTTTTTGGGTGTGGGCGAGGACACAGGGGCCCCATGATACCCTATTTCCCGGGGGCCCCATGAGTTGTCAGTCCGCCCCTGCATGTGACAAGTTGTGACCAATCACAGCTCTCACAGTATTTCTCAATGGCTGCAAGAATGCAGCCAGAGCGAAGGAGAAATGATTGCTTTTACAGCCTTTATGGGTGTAAAAGCAATCAGTTGTAAAAAAAATAAAAAATAAAATCTTGATCACCCCCCACAAGTAGTACGGTGTCACTATGGTGACACTGTACTGCTAGGGTGACAGTATGTAAAAAAAAAAAAAAACCCCAAAAATAAATAATATAAAAAAAAAAATAAAATAAAGTAAAAATTTTTTTTTTTAAATTATAATTTTTGTTTATAAAACTAATTTGGGTTATTTTCTTTTTACTAAAAAGATAACTGAATACATTTTGGCCAAGATTTATGAAGAAAGATTATTTATTTGCAAACACTTTTTTTCAAAAATTGTGGACTTTCATTTATAATAGCAAAAAAAATAAAATTGGCAGTGGTGAATAAATACCACCAAAATAAAGTTTTATCTGTCTCAAAAAAATGCTAAAAAAATCATATGGGTACAGTGTTGCATGACTGCGCAATTGTTATTAAAAAAGTGTGACAGAGCTGAAAGCTGAAAATTGGCCTGGGCAGGAAGGGGGTGAAAGTGTTCGGATTTGAAGTGGTTAAAGAGAAACTTCAGCCTTTCTCCCCCAGCCCACCCACTTACAGCTTTTTCTCTTGAACTACTGGGATCCTCTCTTTTTGGAGCCTCTGCACGGGTCCGAAGCTGCCATGCTGCCTGTCACAGCTCCCGGCTGTTCTTGGTGCAGACACCACTAGGCCCACTCCACTTCTCTACATTGAATGGGTCTATACGGCATGCATCCCAGGAGGCACCAGGGCACTGTCATTCGCCTAGGCGAACACCAGGAGTTGGGGGCGGCGGTACGAGCCTTTCAAGCAAAAAACACAGTAAGTAAAAAAAACAACAAAAAGAATCCAATATCAGGGCTCTGGGGGGGGGCTGGATGGAGAAGAAGAAAGTGCTGCTGAAGGGTGAAGGACCACTAGAACACATGATGAGGAAATCCAATTAAAAAACGTTTTTGGAATGATCATCCAATAATCTGATTGTTAGAACACAGCTGATCACGACAGTCCATGTGAAATTATCCGAAGGGACAAACACGAACATTTTTCTCGGAAGATAAACTGAACAATGATTTTCATTTAACCTCCCTGGCGGTATTCCCGAGTGTAGCTCGGGGTAAAATGTCAGTACCAAAAGCGGTAACCCCAAAGCTACACTCGGGCTTACCATGCGGCGTTGCTCAGGGATTCCCTGCAGAGCTTACCTTGTCCTTCGCTCCCGCGATGTGTCCCCTGCAGCGTCCCCCGGCCCATCTCCTCCGGCCGATGTTGGCATCCGGCTTCTGTGTTCCGGTCCCTGTGACGTCGGGACGTACGGGCGCTGCCGTCGGCGGCGAAAAAATTTGAAAATTTTGAAAAAATGTCATTTTTTTTTTCCAAACAAATTTTACATAGTAAAACATTGCTGTCTCAACCCATTTCACATACATTTTGTCCCTAGTACTTTGTCCTGTGCCCTGCCTGCAAAATTTTGTCTGTTCTTTCTGCCTGGAAACTTAGAAAAGTCCATGGCATCCAAAAAGCGTCCCTTTATGTCAAAAGCGGTTTAGACCAGCTAGAGAACAGCGATAGTAAATCAGAACCACTTGCAGAATTGAGTGATAATGATTTGTGGGGAAATTTGTCATCAGACACTGAAAACGATTTTGCGACTTTGCTCAGCAATGTGCGAACTTGGCGCTCTATTTCAAATTTCAGTGTTTTCGGTTTGATTATATTATTGAATTAAATGTATTATTATATATTATTATTTTTATGATTATTTATTAAATTATAATTTATGATTTTTCGTGTTTCAAATTTTATCATCCCCGGGATGTTTAATAGACTCTTGTTCGTACAGATTTTCAGTGAGTTATTCCTAAAAATTACAGTCTACAATAAAAAAACTACATATTTCCATGCAAAATAATGGTACCGCTTTCAGCACCAAAAATCTGAAATAATCATACCGCTAGGGAGGTTAAGCAGTACAGTATTTGTCCGTAAACAAATCGAGTGACCAAGAGCGCGCATGCTCAGAAACAAAAGAATACATTACAATACAATACATTACATCATCACTGGAAGAGAATTTTTATAACTCTATTAACCTATTCGTTTTCAATATGAGACAAGCATGCAAAAAAAAAAAAAATGAGGGTCATTTGTCCGATATGCTCATTGTGTGTACCAGGCATTACAGAGAATGCAGCTTCTTTTATCTTTTAATCCTTGTCTAATGTTCCAGTGTAAGCTCTGAGGAAGGGGCAAGTCCCCGAAATGCATTATCCTATTGGAGGTCCACTGTTCCTGTGGGGATCACTGTAACAGGCAGACTGGGCAATTGCTGTGTTTCATGATGAGCTTTTTTTTATCATTGTCATTTGTGAGTATATCACCATTCGTAATTTTTATCAATAAATTTATTTAGGCAATGCACTAGGCTGGTGCGCCCTCTGTTTGTTTTCTTTACATACAGTGTTTTGGACTTCCTCAGTCTTTTGGGGGCAGCAAGGCAAACAATATCCAGGATCTTCCACACGGATCCGTAGTTTACACCCCCAAGTTCACGCCAAGCGCAGGAGTATTTGTGTTTAGTCCCTGTCAGGGAATGGGAAGATCGCCACAGCGATCTAATCTGCACATGCATAGAATCCTGACAAAACGTACAGGTAGGCGGGCACTAGGACCCAGGCGCGCCTGTCACAAATGACGGTGCTGGGCAAGCACTAGGACCCAGAAGTGCCTGTCAGGAGTCGGGCGGACTATTTAAACCCGGCTCTTGCAATGCTCAAGTGCCGTATGGTCTTATCTGTGTTCCTGTGAGTAGATTGTTTGTTGCCGGCCCTGCCTGATCCTGATTTGCTGTCCGTCTCCTGCTCTGATCCCTGGCTTTTTTTCTGACCATTCTCCTGCTTAACCCCATACGTTCTGACCTCCTGTTGACGAACCCGGCTTGTGACCTGTTTATCCCTCTGCCTGCTGATTCTGTACTACACCACCACTACTGTTACCGACCCGGCCTGCCGACGCTGCTTCAGTTATCTCCTCACATCAGACTCTTACCCGCTATACACCTTCAACGGTGCTTCTACCACAGCTGGGTGAACCCAGGGACCTGGTCTCGGCCTGCTCCAAGTCCATCCCCACCATCAGGGGCTCTGATGAACAAGCAGGTCGGAGCTTAGATTCCATGCCTTGGGGGATTCCGGTCTGTGGAGTGCTAGAGGCTACCGCTGCAGGATCCCTGACAGTCCCTATTTCAGGGTGGCTCCTTTCTCTTATAGGATGCTATAGAGCCACCTTACTTCAAGGTGTCTTCCCTGCAACATCCTCCTACTCCTCCCTCCCTTCTACAAGCTAGCAAACTGGCTGGAAGCGGCACTGTCTACCATTAAAGCGGTATTAAACCCCAAACCAAAAATGTATTACAGTATATTGCAGCTTATTAATCATTAGATGTGATGGCTGCATTTGTTTTATTTTTATTTTTTTCCCTCTGTTTTTTCCCTCTGTTTTCACCTGGTGATCTGGCCAGTAACACACCTGCTGTATTAATGAGACACAGGAATGGGGCAGGGCCAGGGGCAGTGGCTGCTGGTATGTGTCTTACCTGTGTCCGTGTCCCACTTCGATCCGGTCCACGAAGGCGCTGCTGGAGGAGGGGTAGAGAGGGTGTCCGGTGTCTTCATTTCCTGGGTGGATGATCATGGATCGCTATGTGGGCGGGATGGCCTCTCACCTGGCCACACCTACCAGGTGGCCTAAGGCAGCTTGTCTCTCCCCTCTGCAAGCTCCGCCTCCTCACCGGTGATTGGCCGCCAGATCTGTAGCTCAGGGAAAGCACACAGGCAGAGAGGAGGAGCTAAAGGGCAGCTCAAGGGAAGCTGATCGAAGTGAGGGAGCAGCCAGAGTCGGTCAAGAGGAGTAGAAGGAAGACAGCTGATCGGTAAGGTAAGTCTCTGTGCGGCTGGGATCTGGGCAGAGCAGATGTTGCTGCTGCAGGCAGGTATGCTAGCTGTAGATGGGAGAGGGAGTGAGCCCGGGCTGGAGCAGGGGTCAGCAATGTAAGCATTATTGGTATCAGTGGGAGGAATAGTGCCCCATCATTGGTGTCAGTGTGGGAGGAATAGTGCCCCATCATTATTGTCAGTGGGAGGAATAGTGTCCCATCATTATTGTCAGTGTGGGAGGAATAGTGCCCCATCATTATGTCAGTGGGAGGAATAGTGCCCCATCATTGTGTCAGTGTGGGAGGAATACTGCCCCATCATTCCTGTCAGTGTAATGGGACTATACTGCCCATCATTCCTCCCACCAATAATGGGGCACTATTCCTCCCACACTGACACCAATGATGGAGCACTATTCCTCCCACTGACATCAATGATGGGGCACTATTCCTCCCACTGATACCAACGATGGGGCACTATTCCTCCAACATTGACGCCAATGATGGGGCACTATTCCTCCTACTGACACCAATGGTGGGCCACTATTCCTCCTACTGACACCAATGATGGGGCACTATTCCTACCACTGACACCAATGATGGGGCACTATTCCTCCCACTGACACCAATGGTGGGGCCACTATTCCTCCTACTGACACCAATGATGGGGCACTATTCCTCCACTGACACCAATGATGGGGCACTATTCCTTCCAATGATACCAATGATGGGGCACTATTCCTTCCAATGATACCAATGATGGGGCACTATTCCTTCCAATGATACCAATGATTGGACACTATTCCTCCCACTGACACCAATGATTGGACACTATTCCTCCCACTGACACCAATGATTGGACACTATTCCTCCCATTGACACCAGTGATGGGGCACTATTCCTTCCACTGACACCAGTGATGGGGCACTATTCCTCCCACTGACACCAATGATTGGACACTATTCCTCCACTGACACCAGTGATGGGGCACTATTCCTCCCATTGACACCAGTGATGGGGCACTATTCCTCCCATTGACACCAGTGATGGGGCATATTC